TGGGTGAAATGAGGACCCAGACTGTGGGGGCGATATGCTGACTCTGTAAACCGCTATGAAGCGGTATATAAGTCTAACTGCTATTGCTATTGCTACTGCCCTACAGGATAATGGGTGCAAGACCTTATTTATTAAGTTGGGCTGTAGGAATCAGTAGGGAACATTGCAATTGTACCAGCAGGTTCCTCCCTGCTGGAGCTCTCTGAATCCATGGCCAGGTTGGTGGTGGAATTCCCCAGGCTTATGGGGGGGACATCAACTTACTTTTTCTGGAGTTGGGGGGGTCTAAGGTAGCTTGGGAATTATCTAGGCCCTTTTCAGATGGGGTTTCAGACAAAAATATGGGATAGAGATGGCATTGGTCACAGTTAGATGATCTCTGGTCAGGGGTGGGATTCAAATCGTTTTGCTACTGGTTCCAGGGGTGTGGCTTGATGGGCATGGCATTGCTTGGTGGGCATGACTGGTGGGCAGGGAAGGACCACCCCATGGCACCTCTGCCAGTGAAAATGGAGCTCAGGAGGGCTGCACGCTCCCTTGAGCTCCGTTTTCGGTGGCAAAAAGTTGCAGGAAGCCATCCCAGCTGAAAACCGGGCCTGTGACCTCCTTTTTCGCTGGTAGAGGGCTATGCCCATCCCGTCCTGGCAACGCCCCCCAGCTCCCCGAGGTCAAACAGAACCCTGATATGGCGCTCAATGAAATCGAGTTTGACACCCCTGTACTAGAGGGACCAATCCCCCCCCCCCCAATTGTCTTTATCTGTCTGATCTGGCCAGGTAGAATAGGCATGCTGTGGCTTCTATTGGCCAAAGCATGCCAGTCGACAGGCCCTAGAAAACATGTGCCTTGTGTGCTGTAGCACTGTTGTTCTGGAACATTCTCCTTTTGGATATCAGAATGGCCCAGACCCTGTTGGTCTTCTGTAAGGGCCCCAAAGCCCTGGTTTTGTACAAGGGCCTGGGGCCCCCAAGTAATTACAGGGACCCACTTTTTAGTTATGTTAGTGATTTGGGTTGTTGTTTTTCAGCCTGCCTGTATTTTAAAGTTTTATAGTGTTTGTTATTGTTTTATTCCGTTTTAATTCTGATCGCCATCCAGAATTATTCATGGAGATAGAAACTGGATAACTAATTACATTTCTGAATGGGAGTCTCCTGCACTGAAGCTCACTTTGTTAAAAATTATTTTCTTTATCAAAATCTACAGGCTTGATTTTCGTTACTGTTGGAGTTTTCTTGTGTTTGGTGTTATATTATGTGGAGATACCTGTGTGTATAAAGATTAACAGAAATGTTTTGTGTTGTTTTTGCTGTGTATTATTTACTGCTTGAAATATTCAGATTAATGATTGTTTATGAAGGATCAGAGGTGGGTTCCTACCAGTTTGCACCTGTTCGGTAGAACCGGTTCGTCAAATCTACCGAACCGGTTAGAAGAGGTTCTACCAGTGGACCCGGAAAGCAGGCCACACCTACAGAAGAGGTTCCAAATTTTTTTGAAACCCCCACTGCCCCCCCCCCCACACACAGACAGACAGAGAGAGAGAGAAAGAGAAAGAAAGGAAGAAAGAAAGAAAGAAACAAAGAAGAAAGAAAGAAAGAGAGTGAGAGAGGGAGATGAAAGAAAAGAAGAAAG